AGTTAAATCTTTTATTTCTGAATCGAATGGTGGTATTTCTGTCTTCATAGCATGCACAGAACCGAAGATATGAAATTTCTCGCCATCGATCTCCCAGCATCGATGAGACTGGGACGTGATTAAACAAGCATTAAAAAATATATGCCAATACCCTTTGTAATATAATATATAATTCAGCAAATGAAAGTAACCAATTGTATAAATATAACTGTAAATCGAACTAATGGTATTTCTTGAGTAACTTGAGTCAACTACAGTCACAAGCTTAGAAAATTAAATACATTAGGCTATCATTAATGTAAAAAGCGCATCATGTTTGCAAAGTTGATTAATAGCGGTACGGCATTTTTTATTTGATCATGATTTGATTTTTGATCATGATCAATATCGGTTAGTTCTATACTTTTCTCTAACGGCTGCATTGAGTCCCGGTTGGTGTACGTTTTCCTCAAAACGTCCATTTTCCGGTTTAAACCCGTCACCGTTACAACAAATTTCTTTACAAAAAAAATGGTTAAAATTTTTTCCAATGGAATAAAGGGTACATCATTTGAGCAGGGTTAATCCTTGAATTAAGATATGATTATTGGCGAATATATAAGGAATTAGAATTGAAGAATTAAAATAATGGGTTAGAATAAACTAGTCCATACTTTGAAATGCACTAACAATATCGACGAATTTAAAAATGCCTAATCAAACTAAATGCATGATCACTGCTAATTCCATGCACTGAATTTGGTTCTTCACAAACTATTTGCGCAATTGTGCTTCGCTTCTCAACCATATAACAACGAAGACTCAAAGTCCGTCGAAACAAACTTTATGATAGCATTAGCTATTTGTCATCCCAAAGTAGAAAGTAGTGTCCAAACTATTTGTGATACAAATGTATATAACATGTTGCCCCAATATCACATAGTATATATAGCCTTTCCTTTAGCTTGTGACTCGTTAAAATATAACATGGTGCATCATATGCAAATTTTCTATACTAATTACATCAATCTACCAACTATCACTACAGTGAATATAGGAAGGGAAGAATTCAACGCTGGACTGACATTTGTGCATGCACGACTCTCATGGGCCTATTTGTTCACACAGGTCCAACGAAATTCCCGTCTGGATAAATTACAGCAATTCCTTGTTTTAGGATTTGGGATACTGCTTCGTTTTGGTATTAGATCAACGGAGATTAAAAAGAGTATAGGAGGCATTGCGGGGTAAATTTAGCAAAAGGAGAGGAATATATTGTATATTGAAGCTTGCAAATGGGGGGGGGGGGGG